TATATATATATAAGTGATGATGAAGTGAGTAGAAGGAAAAAAAGTGGTTTACCGGACAATGACATTTCAATTTCAATTTCTATAAAAATAAAAAAATAATTTTGCACCAAAATTTGTTGTGGCCTAGGATGTGCATTAAATCAATACATAATTGTTTAGTTAAATGTTTGATAACAATTTCTTATAAATAATAAGCGGTACATTAGGACCTCGACCACATATATGCAATTTTTCCTTTAGGACCCTCAGCATCATATATGAAACGAACTTTTCTGACTCCAGCTGGACAAGATCATACGGCGACGAGATCTCAATTTGGCGACGAGACTTCAATTTCAACTCTCGGCTTAGTACTTATATCTACTATTTAGTACGCATACTGTGAGAGCGTGTTGTTCTCGGGAAGCGCTAATTCTCTCGATCAGTCTTGAAAAGTTCGAGAAAGAGGCATAAAAATGGACACAAGCATTCAAAAGAGTTTATGGATGGTACTGCAGACTGAAGGTTAGAAAAGTACTACCATGCTGCTTGTTGATTTAAGGTAGCAGAAAAAAATGGAATAATTTTTTAAAAAGTAGTATAGATTCTACTTCAATTGTTGAGCGAATCAATTCTTATTCTGGATTATTAACTTTTCACAGGCAAAACAAATCGCTTCATTTTCATTTTCTTTTAGCTAATTTGAAATAACTGCGCAGTGTTATCTGGAAATCATAGATTCTGAGCTACTTTTAGGAGAACTGTTTCAGTTGATGCACGCGTTGAAGTTACATGTCGTGTAGACCACCTTACTTAGTTGGGTTTGGGTGTACATATCACCCTCCCTTGGTTTTATGAGCCCCTATTTAAAACCAGCCCAAAATAACGAAAATCATATAATAAGACTCTTACATTATTCATAACGTTCTCTATTTCCTTTTAACACCTTTGTCTTCAACATTAGAAAGATAACCACTTTTCGAAGACGCAAAGGCAGCATCATTCAACCTCATCACTGGATCATCATACAAGTATCGGTTGACCAAGTCGTTGAGTTTTCTCGGAACTAAAGACTGAGCGGGGGTGAGAGAAACAAAGAACTGAACACAAAAACTGTCCCACGAAACAATATGAATCAATCATCGGTCGGATCAGAAAGCTGCTAGCTTCCTATTGTGGACAGCTATGATTATATCAATTTAACTATAGCAGGTTAGGTGCTTAGATGAATTCAAGCAGGTTAGAGTAACGGATCGCATTGTAGATTTATTATAAATATTGTTCTTAACACTAGAAAGACTGAAACTTACAATATATACCTATATTGACCTAAAGCAGTCAATATGACTGGATTGTAAAATAATAAATAATGTGTAAAGAAGTTTATTTAAAATTAATTTTTAATATTTCTCATATTATTTACAGTTATATAACAAGTTTTTAGTAAATATTTACAATAAAAAAATTATATGCTGTTCAAACTCCTAAGAAATTGTGTCATTGTATGCATCATTGTTTTTCTAATTGAAATTAAAAGCAATCAAAACGAATTCCTTAGGCAATCTAGTGTTAAACATTTATTCAAATTTTTTGAAAAATACAACTTTAATCATATTTGGAAAGTTTGAGTAAAACAACATGAATTAGTTCTTACCTAAGCATGTTTTTCCCTCAATATCCAGTCGAAAACCTTTGCGGCAAGAACAATAATGACCTCCAGGAAAATTGTTGCAAATGTCACTGCAGCCACCATTATTACCATCAGCGCATTCATCATTATCTGCCAAAATAAAATTTTAAAGAGAGAAGGGACGAGCAAATGTAGAAAGGTGTATAACATAGAATATTTTTAATTTTTATCTGACTGATTTTACGTTTGAAAACTTACCATTTTGAAAGTTTAGTAAAACAATTTTTAAAAAGTACTAAATGATAAAAAAAAAAAAATTTGAATTTAAAATTAAAGAAATTTTAGGGACAGAATTTAGATAAGACTTTCCACTCAGGACTTGAATACAATTCGAGAATTGAAATTTGATAGAGCTAGTAATTTTTAAAAATCATGGTAGAGATTTTTATTTAAAATTCTCAGTTGTACTAAAGTTGTTGCTTTTTATTTTTTTAAAGTGATATTTTTCATGTTTTGCACTTTTCATGTATGCATTTTTAATAAACAAAGTTCGCTATCGATGATATGTACTAAGTATGTCTGTAAGATTCTTCGAAGCAACGTCAGTAAAATTTGCTTAAAACAGTAAAAAAAAATTTTTTTAATGATTCTACAACAAAGTATACAAATGTATTTTTTTAAGTACATTGCAATTTTAAATTTTTTCTACCCATGAGAAAATTATATTGATGCATTTCGGGTTATTAATAATTCCATTACACTATTTCTGAATTCAATATTGAAGCATTCGTTAGATAGACACTAAAAGTAAAAGTTTTATAAAACTTTGGGTAAAAGTCTTAGAAGGACTGATAATCAAATTATTAATCAAGAATCACTGAAATTAAAAAAAAGAAGATTTAAGCAAAATATCAACAAATGTCGTGAAATAGATTAACCAATCATTTATTGACATTATTCATTTTATGGAATTATCAAATGAAGTAATTGAATTGCAATTAAAAAATTAAAGAAAACAAGATGTAGAAGAATATGGAACACCATTTACTTCTATTCATTATTAGTTAAGAAAATTATTTTGGAGTTGACAAAAAGATTCTACTTTTTTTACATTTAAAGGGAGTGGAGAGCAAAGCGTGCAGAGATCAGAAAACTGGAAATTAAAATATATCAATTGCAAAAATTAAAAATTACAAATAAAGTTTACTTATGTGTACCCATGCAAGAATAGTTATCTTTAGCCAATGTATATCCACTTGAACATGAGCAATGAAAACTTCTGATAGAATTGTGGCAAAACATTTGACAACCTCCATTTTTTATTTGGCATTCATCGATATCTGCAAAAATAGTACAGAATTTTTAAACTAAGTGATATTTTAATATAAAAAATATGATTTAAAATAATTAATTAATTTTAATTTAATTAATAATTATATATAATTTAATATAATTATANTAAAATTTATTTTAATTAATAATTAATTAATTAATTGCAATTAAATTTTAATGTAAAATAACCAAAATGAGTTGGAAATTGGAAATTAAAGTGGAATCCAAAATAAATTCAAACAATTATCCAAAAAATTTAGTCGTTTAACATGAAGAAGACTTTTGACTGCTCTATACTCTCACATGAATTTAATTAAATGGGTTAAAGTTTAAGACATAATCCTGAAATATTTAAATTTTATCATCTGTTAGATATTAAAATATCAGGCATAGGGCAAGATTTTTTTATATCCATATTTCACAAATTATAACTCAAATCATGAAAATTTTATTTGAAATCATTTTAAGAAAAGAGGGAAAAGTTCAAAATTTATAAATCTAAAATACACAGTTTAGTCATCCGTAATAAAATTCTTTAAAACTTAATTCATTATAAAATTCAATATAATTCAAAATAATCAATAAAAGCCATTGTAACTTAAATATCATTTACTAAATTTATAATAATTCATAACAATTAATGGAATGCATTAATATATTCTATCTCAGAATGATTACACTATTTTTATTATAATTATTATAAAATAATATATTGAATTACAGAATTCATGACAATTTATGACAATATTTATTATGATTAATAGTAGGTGAACATAGACTACAATTCGTTATATTTTCCAAATCTTATTATAATTGAACCAATAGGTAGATTAATACTATATTACTGATTTTTCTTTATTTTTAAATATTTGAAATTTTTTTGTACCATAAAATTTTAATTGTTATTCTTAAAATTGTCTTAGAATATGACGAAAAAAAGGAAAGAAAAATAATAGAAAATATGGGATGGAAATTGATGGGAAGGACTGAATCACCAACACATGTCTTATTGTCATCTTTCAGTTCAAATCCCGGAGGACATGAACAGAGGGCAGAACCAGGTGTGTTTATGCAAGAATGTGAACAACCAAAATTTTTTATAAGGCATTCATTTATATCTGGAAAATAAAAAAAAGCTATATCAATAATATATTAGTAGATATAATAATAGATATATTGATAGATACATTAATATATATTGCGTCAGGTAAATCTTTAATTTGATTTTAAAAAAAATAAAGAATGCATAATTCCAAATTTTTATTTGCGGCATTAATATAAAATAATATCTTTTTTATAACATTTATTTTATTTTATTTACTGACTCATTGCATCGGGAAATCAATCTGAATTATAAGGTTATCCTATTATAAGGTCTCAGATGCAATCACAAACTGAATAATTATACACTTTTGAGTTTTAAAAAGAAAGATTTTTGTTTTTTATAAGTTAGTTTCCGGCTAATTTAATTGGATTAAAATTTTAAAAATTAAAAAAATAACTAAAGATAGAATCAATAACTATAAAATGAATAAAGGAATTAAAAATAACAGATTAAAATCATAAAGCTGTAATAAAATAAAGTAAAACTCAACTACGTAAAACACGCTCATTTAGACTCTAGTCATTCAATTTATATCGATTTATTTAGTAAATAAAAGGTTAAATTACCAATATTCTCAGTTTTATTTCATAGTGAACTGAAACATTTAAAAAAATTTAATTCAGTTCACAAATATTTTTAAACCAATTTCGGTGAAAGAAAAAATAATTAAATTTTATGTAAATTAAACCCGACTTTCTCGAACAACTTCCTCAAAGAGTTTTGTTACCTTAACCTTAAAATATTAATCTTTAAAAATACACGCGCCAGGCACTTTTTAGTAAACAAACTGAGTTAAAAGAATATTTCGTCAGTTGAAAAAAACTGAAAAATACCCTATTTCTTAAAGAAAATTTCAATGTAGTTTATTTAAAAGCAGTACTGGAATTAAATTCTGAATTTAAGAAATTATAAATTTATTAGATATTATGAATATGACATTACACATATATATGTTATTGTGAATGACCGTAATTGGGGGTTGTTGACTTCTACCGGTGAATGTTGAGAATCACATGGTCGCTTTGGTAAATGTCCGAAATCTGTACTAAGTCAAGTTAAGTGTCACAGCCAGGTATACATTTGCCAGGTATGCCCTACATCAATGTTTTTTTAAGGTTCGGTGCCACAGCCCGGTATACATTTGCCCGATATGCCCTATACACTGATATTTTTTAATGTAAGTGCTACTGCCCGTTATACATATAATCAGTACTCCGAACACTGATGTTCCTCAGCAGATATTAAAATATCTAATAAATATAATAATATCAACGAATAAATTAATATCAAATCAGATATAACAAATATTTCGACAAAGCGATTATGCGATGGTTGACATTCACCGGTGAAGGTCGACATTCTCTTGATTTCGGTCATTCACGGTAAAATGTATAAGACACTATACATACCTCTGCAGGGTATATTATGAGGGGGAGATCCGATAAATCCTGGAAGACAACGGCAATCTGCGATGGATGATTTTGCATTGGAATCAGTCACTGAATCCGGCGGGCATTCAATACAAATATTATAGATTTCTGAACTGTATGAATTCTTACGGCAGCCTAGTTAGAGCGTTTAAAATAAACAAAAAATGAAATTTCGCTGTTATTAACATGAAATTGACAAAATATTTTATAAATTGCATATTTGCAACTTGAGAAAAAGAAGGCGGGATTAGGCCAAACCATGTGATTTACATCACATAGTTGGGCCTAATCACGTGTTTGGTGAGTAAACGCTACAGCAACGTTATTAGGAAGATTTCGCATTTTTACTCTAGTACGCAATTTTTGAAGAAGAGTTTTTCATTGTCTGGATATGAGCAGGAGAATCAGGACAGGAACGAGGTATTTTAAGTGTCGAAAAATTTCAAACATTTGTTGATGTTGCTGTTTCGTAACATGGCCAAAATAGTTTGCCTTCGAATTCTGCTTCTAAGCACAAATAACTAATTGGTTTCTTTATGTGTGTTTAGTCATTCGAAAGCAACTTATCACTAAATATTCTTACGGCACTAAGTAAGTTTGTCTTTTTTTTTATTTCGGAAAATTTTGAGTTCTTATCATAGTTAGTTTATTATATTTGTGGCGGTACTAACCTTGAACTTTCGTGATCTGGCAACTGAACAAAGACTTTTAGTTTAGTTTTCTGTAACAAAGAGAGCCAGTTTAGCTTTTGTATTCTACTTGAGATAACGTCAGTGATCTTTGTCAATAGTTGTGTTTTAATATTTCCACGAATGTTATTTACGTGTTAAATGTTAAATTAAAGTTGTTAAGTTTTTACTATTCGTATTTCATTTTCTTAAAGCATTAGTTTCAATTACATAGACTTGTATATCTGCTAAACTGGTGATACCGGACGTGATGGATGGCGAAAATGGAAACAATTCTAAAACGGAGCCTGCAGTGCGTGTAGCTGTTAAAGTTCCCCAATTTCCGAAAGAAAATCCTGCAATATAGTTTTCACAGGTGGAATCTCAGTTTATCACTGCGGGAATTACTCAAGATAGCACAAAATATCATACGATCATCGCTTCAATCGAGACGGACATTTTATCGCAGGCCAGTGATTCGTGGGGCTGGTTTATCACTTTACCTCCAGTTACGAACATGTATGATTCTTTAAAGCAAAGATTAATTAAAATATTCAGTATTTCTGAAGAACGTCGTTTAAAAAAACTCTTGCAAGATATCGGATTAGGTAATAGACGACCGTCTGCATTTGATGCGACAAATGCAAGATTTGGCTGGTGATAGTGTTGGCGACGCATTGCTAAAATCATTATGGCTTCAAAGATTTCCCACACAAATGCAAGCTATTTTAAGTACTTCATCAGATCCTCTTAATAAATTAGCTATAATGTCGGATAAGATTGATGATGTTACTTTTTCAAATAAAATCTTCTCTGCTAGTTCAGAAACGAAACAAAAAGTACCAAACGATGGCGATTATCCAAATACTGTCGAATCGCTGCAAGCTCAAGTGTGTGAATTAAATTTAAAAAAATTGATAAAGCATACCCTCCAACTGCTACGGAATTTCCGTAGTTTCAGAAATCTTCTTTTCAGACGGTAGCAAAATTAATGTCTTAATATTTAAAAAAAATTAATTTTAGCGTAACTTGTCCACTATTACTTATAAAAGTGTAGGCCATATGGCTAGAATTCTTAAGTTCTGATAAAAGTTTTATGAGAGATCCATTTGCTTTAAAAATTTCTACTTTGGTTCGCTACCACTAGAAAGAATTATTTTCAAAATCCTCATAAGTTGGAGGGTATGATAAAGTGTTGCGTTTCCGAGAGGTCGAAGCCCTGGTAAAAATATGAATAAACACAGTAATCGCTCCTCAAGCAAAAATAGACTTTGCTGGTACCATTATCGTTTTCGTGAAAGAGCTAACAAATGTATCCAACCATGCAGTTTCAAGGAGGAAAACTGGACGGCCATGCGTTACTGTCGGCGAACGCCAACGGCCATGCAAATTGTCGCCTTATAGTTATTGATAGGGCATTAGGTCTTAAATTATTAGTAGACACTGTCGCTGATATTTCCATTTTGCCACCTTCTCAGAATGAACGCAATAAGACTCCGTCCATCATGAAACTCGTTGCTGCTAATGGTTTTCAAATTCCGGTTTATGGAACACGAAAATTGGATCTTGATATTGGACTGCGTCGCATCTTTCCCTGGACGTTTACTATTGCTGATGTATCACGACCCATTCTTGGAGCTGATTTTTTATTACATTATGACATTTTAGTGGATCTAAAATCCAAATCGTTAATTGATAAGCTAACTAATGTTACATTTCGCGGAAAAATTTCTTATGAATCAACGCCTAAAATAACTGTGTTAAAAACGTCTGCCGAATTTTATTCTTTAATTAGTGAATACCAAGACATTTTTGAGGAGGGAAAACCAGAAAAAAGGCTATACCTCATAATGTCCGTCATGTCATCGAAACAAAGGGTCGACCAGTGGTTGCAAAAGCGAGAAGACTATCTGCTGATAAATTGGAAGCGGCAAAAGCAGAATTTAAATACCTCTAGTACACCAAGGGATATGTAGCCCATCCGAAAGTTGCTGGTCAAGCCCATTGCACATGGTTAAAAAACCGGATGGTTCTTGGCGACCATGTGAAGACTACCGTGCGTTAAATGCCAATACACTTCCTGACAAGTATCCCATTCATCATTTAAACGATTTTTCTACCAATTTACATGGAAAAACTGTCTTCACAACGTTTGATCTCCGCCCAGCTTATCATCAAGTGCTCATGCGCAAGGAAGACATTATAAGAACTGCGATCATCACCCCCACATTGGTGACCTTCGGACGTGTATGAACATGCCCACCTTGACAAAAAAAACTCCCATTACGATATGAACACGCCTACTTCGATGGATTGTTCACATTGGACAGTTGACTTGCTACTTGTGACTGTAACATTATCCACCTCCGCACGCTGTTGCTACTCTGTCTCGTGTCGATTAAACACAGCGTCTGCCTGCACACACTCGACTGCTAAAGGCAACATAGGAACGACTACGACTGTGAAGTTAATTCATCTATCACATTTCAGCACTCAAAAACCCGGTGACCTTAATTCCAGCTCTCCCGGTCTTTCACAAGTACAGCAACTAGTGGTATCCGTTCATCGAATTGTATCCCTGATAAAATTCTTGTGGGGGAGTATTGTGGCGTAACTACCACTACGAAAATTAAACATCAATTCACTAGTATATAAGACATGCTAACTTGATTCAATCACTCGGTACCTTTTGATAGATGAAGGTTGGCATGATTATATTACCCACATAATAAGAAGTTAGAATTTTCTGTCCACGATTGTAAGAAATAATTTACTAAAGTCGAAATTTTAATGATTATAACAAAACCATATACTTACGAAGTATTATATTGAATGAAAAAAATAAACCAAAAGCTTAACGTGCACTTGAAAAAATCGTACATTATTTAAGTAGAAAATGGAGAGAGATTAATTGGTAAACTGCTCCATAATTGCTCATCTTCAATACTTACCGTTACAAACGAAATCAATATTCGGAAATTGATTTCTTGTTAATACTTTGAGTTAAGTTTTTAGGAAAATAAGAGATACTGTTGAATAGATAATTTTTTTATAATATAATCATATTCAATTCTGAAGTAAAATATAATATAGATAAAAAATTATTTATTATGAGAGTGAATAAAAAATAAACGCATTTGTTACCTTCGCATTCATAACTATTTTTGAGAATATAACCTGATTTACATGAGCACGAGTAACCTCCAGGAGTATTGATACACTTGTGATTGCATTGATTCAGATAAGGAAATTGACACTCATCAATATCTGAAATTATATCATTTTTTTTACAGTAGTTAATATAAAAAAAATTTTTAATTCTAAAATACTACTCGAAAGAGTAAAAACTTTTTCGCACCTATTGGCGCAATTTTCTGGCTCTAATGTTTCAAATATATACAGTATGGCCGCTTTAATTATATATATTTAGAATCATTACTCATTAGAAGTCACAAATTATTATTTACGCGACAAAAAAACAGTCTTCGAACTTTGAAAATTCGCAATTGAAATCAAAAATGGCAACAAAAAAGGAATTAATCTAAATGTATGCTAGACCTGAATTATAATGATTTTTTATTCGAAGTTAAAGGCAGTTGCTAAAGGAAGTATTTCTGTACTCCGGGACAAAATAGGATGAGGATGATTTTAATTCCTCTCTGCCCTTTTTAAGTTCAATAAAGATTGGTTAGAGTTTGTTATTTCACATTTAAATAATTATTATTGAGTTCTTTTTTATTCATTTCTTTTTTGTTCTTTACACACGGATTCTAAAAATTTATATTAATTATGTGTATTATGCATGTATAATTACAGAAGTAAGAAATCTGGTTAGAAAACAAAATGAAAAATAATTCTGACTAAAAATGTCAGGAATTATTTTTCTTTTTTTCATAATTACTTTTCAAAACAAGTTTAAATATGATTTGGTTAAAAATACACTTAAATATTCCTTATACATTAAAATATTAAAAAAAACTGCAAACATAGCAAATCTTTGCATAAAGTATATACATTTGTATGAAACTAATCAACTTTATAAATATATTTTTGAAAATTCCTAAAATACCCAATGTTCATAAGAAAATACTTGTGGAAAATATTATTGTGCGAATGGTTTATAAACAAACATTTTAAAAAAAGTCTATATTTTGATAGAAAGTAATAAAATTAAGTATAAAACTTTTATTTTTTTTATCTATTCTATAAATAAACCAAAGTTCACATGCTTCTGGAATTACTTCTTAGTTGAACTCCAGTTGAATACATGCTTTTTTAAAAGCTGTGAGGTGGCAAGCGATAATTTGTGGCTCTACTTTGCTAACGCAGGCACAATACCGATGTTCAACACAAATCTTTGTCAAACCAATGCAAACTGATACCATACATGCGGCAATGGTCAGTTTCCATCCACACGCATATGAGCCGCTCAGAAGCCAATGCGGTTAAGTCCATTTTTTGATATTTTCTAGTTTTTGGAAATTTTGATGAAATAAATAATAATCTTCTTAGTTATTAAAGGATTTACTCGTTGGTTACTTTTTCTATTTCAGACAGCCCTTTTTTTAATAGCTTCTGAATATATTGCATAGTAATTTCAGAAGCCATTGTGAATAAGTTCACATTTTATCAATATTTTTTTACATAAAGTTTGAAATAAAAATTAAATTATTCTTCCTCTTTCGATATTTGTTGGTAACACTAATAAAAACAAGAAATTCATAGTAATTCAGGGTTGCCAGACATAGTATTTTTGATACTACGGTGGTATTTCTTCACCAAAAAAAAGGTGTATGGTATTTTTCGTAGTATTTTTTCAAAATGTGGTATTTTTAGTTTTTTTTTTATTTTATTTTATTTTCATTTCCTAAAACAAAGAAAAGTGCCTCTCTAGTTTTGAAGTAAAAAACAATTTTTGAAATAATCCAACAGTTTATTTTCTATTAGTCACTGTATCTAGTGATGATTGTGAAAAATAAAAGTTCGTTTATACTAGTAGACTATATATATTTCTTATCTTTTTCAGCTGCCAAAAGTTATAAGTCCTAAAATTTTTAAGATGCTGTCATTATTTCAATAAATACTTACGCTTTTATTTACAGATCCTATACATATCTTGTTTTTTTGCAGAGTTTACACCTCGAAAAAAGACGTATACACTTTTCTAATTAAATTAATAAACCAAGAATTTTAAAAACTAACTAGGAGGCTTCGCCCCCTGCTCGCTGGCGCTCGCCAACCCNACGAAGCATTATATTGAATGAAAAAAAATGAACCAAAAGTTTAACGTGCACTTGAAAAAATAGTACATTATTCAAGTAGAAAATGGAGAGAGATTAATTGGTAAACTGCTCCATAGTTGTTCATCTTCAATGTTTATCGTTACAAACGAAATCAATATTCGAAATTTGATTTCTTGCTAATACTTTGAGTCAAGTTTCTTAGGAAAAAAAAGATTAGCTGTTGAATAGATATTTTTTTTATAATTTAATCATATTCAATTCTGAAGTAAAATATAATATAGTCAAAAAAATTATTTATTATGAGAGTAAATAAAAAAATAAACGCCTTTGTTACCTTCGCATTCATAACTATTTTTGAGTATATAACCAGATTCACATGAACACGAGTAACTTCCACGAGTATTGATGCACTTTTGATTGCATTGATTCAGATGAGAAAATTGACACTCATCGATATCTGAAATTATATAATTTTGTTACAGTTGTTAATATAAAATAATTTTTCAATTATAAAACATTACTCGAAACTGTAAAAAATTTTGTACCTATTAGCGCAATTTTCAGGCTCAAATGTTTCAAATCTATACAGTATGACGCTTTAATTATATATATTTAGAATCATCGCTCATTAGAAGTCACAAATTATTATTTAAGCGAGAAAAAAACAGTCTCAAAACTTTGAAAAATCACAATTGAAATCAAAAATGGCAACAAAAGAGGAATTAATCTAAATGTATGCTAGACCTGAATTATATGATTTTTATTCGAGGTTAAAGGCAGTTGCTAAAGGAAGTATTTCTGTACTCCGAGACAAAATAGGATGAGGATGATTTTTATTCCTCTCTGCCCTTTTAAATTCAATAAAGATTGGTTAGAGTTTGTTATTTCACATTTAAATAATTATTGAGTTCCTTTTTTATTCATTTCCTTTTTGTTCTTTACATACGGATTCTAAAAATCTATATTAATTATGTGTATTATGCATGTATAAGTACAAAAGTGAGAAATCTGGTTAGAAAACAAAATGAAAAATAATTCTGACTAAAATTGCCAGGATTTTTTTTTTTAATTATTATTTTTCAAAACAATTTTAAATATGATTTGGTGTAAAATACACTTAAATATTCGTTATGCATTAAAATATTAAAAAAAACTTCAAACACAGCAAATCTTTGCATAAAGTATATACATTTGTATGAAACTAATCAACTTTATAAATATATTTCTGAAAATTCCTAAAATACCCAATGTTCATAAGAAAATACTTGTGGAAAATATTATTGTGCGAATGGTTATTAACAAACAATTAACAAAAAGCATATATTTTGACAGGAAGTAATAAAACTAAGTATAAAACTTTTTTTTTATCTATTCTATAAACAAACCAAAGTTCACATGCCTCTGGAATTACTTCTTAGTTGTACTCCAGTTGAATACATGTTTTTCTAAAAGCTGTGAGGTGGCAAGCGATTATTTGTGGCTCTGCTTTACTTTAATGCAGGCACAATACCGATGCCCAACACGAATCTTTGTCAAACCAATGCAAACTGATAACATACCTGCGGTAATGGTTAATTTCCATCCACATGCATATATCTCTGAAATCTGCTTCATCAGAGAAAATATTTATTTGTGGCATTGGTTTTCATAATTATGTTCCAAACACAAATTCCTATGCTTCTCCCTGCGTGTTTAGTTCTTGGCCACCAGAATAAATAGTAGAGTAATTTCTAATCTTTGTATGCAAAAGGTTTAGTCATTCCGTCGCTATTCATCACTAAATATTATAGCCTAAATAAATTTGTCTGTTCTTTATTTTTTTATTTTGTTTATTTACTTATTTTTAATATTGCGAATTTAAGGTGAGTCGGTGAAGCAATATCTAAACAAGATATTGCTTCAGTTTTTTTTTTTCTTCACAGAATATTTGCATATGCGCTGTGATAACTGTTTATACACATCTTTGACAGAAATTTTTGTAAAAAAATAATGAACTGTGAGCTCTTAACTTAACTGAGAACTTTTAACTTGAAAATTTCATATTTCTCGAGCAAAACTCTTTTATAACTCAAAAAGTTTTCTTGGCAACTATAAAATTTTATCACAGCATACAGCTGATATATTTCAAATATCCCCGAGAAATTTCAAAGAAATGTCATAAAAAAGTACTTCGAAAAAATTCAGTTTTAACATTATTTAAATATGCCCTACTATCTCCCCTAAACGAAAGACTATACATATTTTTTTGTCTACGTTTGTAAGAAATTACAATTTATAGAAGTTAACATTTCGATGGATTATACTGAAACTATATATTTATGAAGAATTAAATTTAATGAAAACAAATAAACCAAAATCAAAAGTTTTGGCTGCACTTCTAGTAAATAAGACATTTTCAAATAGAAAATTGAAAGAGATTATTATTCAGATTATTGAAAGATAAATATAATGCACAATAACTGTTCATCTTCAATATTTTCTGTTACAAAATGAAAACAATATAAGATTTTTGATTTATTGTTCATACTTTGAGTTAAGTTGATTAAAAGGAAAAAGAAAAATAAGTTGCAGAATAATATATTTTTTTAACATAATCATACTCCGTAAAGAAGTAAAATATAATGTAAATAAAAAATGATTTATTATGAGAGTTAATTAGAAAAGAAATGTCTTTGTTACCTTCGCATTTATAACGATTTTTGAGAATATAACCAGATTCACATGAACACGAGTAACTTCCAGGAGTATTGAAACATTTCTGATTGCATTGGTTCAGATGAGGAAATTGACACTCATCAATATCTGAAATTATATCATTTTTTTACAATTGTTAATATAAAATAATTTTTCAAGCATGAAACATTACTCGAAACTGTAAAAGATTTTGCACCTATTGGCGCAATTATCTGGCTCAAATGTTTCAAATCTATAAAGTAGAACTGCTTTAATTATATATATTTAGAATCATTGCTCATTAGAGATCACAAATTATTATATTGATACACTTTTGTTTGCATTGCTTCAAAAGAGGGAATCGACACTCATTGATATCTGAAAACATTTTACTTTTTACACTGGTTAATATAAAATAATCATAAAATATTGTACGAAGCAGTAAAATATATTACGCATATTCTCAATAAAAGTTTTGATCTGGGGCAAAAATTCTAAACCTCTACAGCGTGCCCGCTTTTAATATTAGAGTCAGTGACACATAATCATTGCGCATTAGGAATCACAAATTGTTATGCAACAGAAAAAAAGAAATACAAACACTGAAAAATCACAACTAAAATTAATAATAGCAACAACGGAGGAATTAATCTAAATTTAAGCTAGAACTGAAAAATATCGATTTTTATTTGAGGTTAAAGGCGGCTTCTAAGGGAAGCTTTTCAGTTCTTCTAGTCAAAAAAACTAGGTTTTGATCATTTTAATTCTTCCTCTGCTCTCCCCAACCTTATTGAAGATTGGTCAGAGTTTGTTATTTCGCATTTAAATAATTACTGTTGAGTTCTTTTTCATTTATTTATTTATTACTATTTACCCAAGTATTCTAAAAATCTATATTAAGTATGTAAGTGCAAAAGTTAAGAATCTATTTAGAAAACTAAATGAAAAACAATTCCGACTGAAAATGTCACGAATTATTTTTCTTTTTTTTTGTAATTATTTTTGAAAACTACTTTAAATATGATTTGATGTAAAATACACTGAAATATTTCTTTATACATTAAAGTATAAAAAAAATTGCAAGCAGAGCAAATATATGCACAAAGTATATACAAATGTTTGTAGGAAACTAACCAACGTCCTCAATATAATTTTGAAAATTCCTACTATGCCCAATGTTTACAACAAATACTTGCGGAAAATATTATTCTGTAAATGGTTATTAACAAACATTCAAGAAAAAAAAACTGTGTCTTACTAGTGAGTTATGAATAAAAGAGACTAAATTTTATCTTATTTTATTTTTTTCCAAACAATAAAGCCAATCTCAATCTCCTCTTAGTTGTTTGCCTGATAAATATATGTTTTTCTAAAAACTTAGATGCCGTAAGTGGTTTATCTGTGGCTCTGCTTTTTATTCTAATTGCCCAACACAAATCTTCGTCGAACTGTAGGACGATTCAAATTTGATACCATACATGCAGCAATGGTTAATTTCCTTTCACACGAAAGAAAATATTTAGTCAATGCATTGGCTTCTATCCTTCTTTTAAGCGAAAATAACTAATTGGTCTTTCTCTCTCTGTGAGTTTTGTCATACTGACACAGCTTACCACCAAATATTTTCGTGGTTCGTTTTTTTCTTTCTTTTCTTTTCGTTTTATTTTGTCTTTTTGTGAATTTATCAAAAAGCTAAAAAGATTTTCTACGTTGCAAGCAATAATAATTCACAAAAGTTAACATTTTAATGAATTATATCAAAACTATATAGTTACGAAGCATTGTATTTAATGAAAACAAATTAACCAAAATATTTAAGTGGACTTCTAAGAAATAGAATTTTGTTTTTCAAATAGAAAATTGAAAGAGATTAATTGGTAAGCTGATCCTTAGCTATTCATCTTCGATATTTACTGTTACAAAAAAAATTGAATTTTGAGTTATTGTTCATACTCAGAGTTAAATTTCTTCAGAAGAAAAAGAATATAGATAAAAAAAATGATTTATTATAAGAGTGAATAAAAAAGAAACGCTTTTGTTACCTTCGCATTCATAACGATTGCTGAGAATATAACCAGATTCACATAAACACGAGTAACTTCCAGGAGTATTGATGCACTTTTGACTGCATTGGTTCAGATGAGGAAATTGACACTCATCGATATCTGAAATTATATAATTTTTTTACAGTTTTTATCAAAAAGGTTTTCAAACTATGGAAAAATCACTGTTGAAATTAATAATAACAACAAAGAAGGAATTAAAATATTTTAAATTTAAGTTATAGCTGAAGGATTATGACTTTTATTTGGGGTTAAAGACGGTTTGTAAACAAAGTACTTCCGTTCTTCTAGACGGGATAGTTAGATTTAGATAATACCTCCTGTGTTCTTAGCAACCTCCGTAAAGGTTGGTTAGATTTCGCTATTTCGTATTTAAATAATTGTTAAGATCTTTTTTTTTTTTTTTTTACAAGGATTCTAAAAAATTATATAAAAATTGTGCTCATTGTGCATGTTTGAATTCAAAAGCGAAAAATGTGTTTACAAAAGAAAATAACAAATACTTCTGACTAAAAATGCGAGAAATTGTTTTTCTCTTTTTATAATTAGTTTTCAAAACTATTTTAAATGTGATTCTGCGTAAAATACAGTTAAACTAATATTTATACATTAAAACAAGAAAAAATTGGAAACAAAGCAATTTTTGATACAAAATATATACAATTGCTTATGCGAAACTGACCAATGTTATTAATATAAATTTGAAAACTCATAATATACACATTTATTATGAAAAAATATTTGGGGAGAATATTATTTTTAAAATTGTTATTAAACAAATATTTAAAACAAATTGCTAAAATAAAGACTAAACTTTTGTCTTGTTTTATCTTACTCTATGAATAAATTAGCATTGTCGTAGATAAATCAGGATTAAGTATGAAAAAAATCTAAAGGCACATAATGCATAGTTGTTAATTTCTGAAACTCTATCACAATAATATGAAAAGGTAAATAACAGCTAGCCAACACTTCGAAATATTTTTGTTATGGAACAAAAAATAGCTATCTTAACAAGATCACGTCCTCTGGTATCAGAAATGCTCATTTCATATATGATACCGTAGGCCGTGAAGAGAGAATCNAAAAATAATGAACTGTGAGCTCTTAACTTAACTGAGAACTTTTAACTTGAAAATTTCATATTTCTCGAGCAAAACTCTTTTATAACTCAAAAAGTTTTCTTGGCAACTATAAAATTTTATCACAGCATACAGCTGATATATTTCAAATATCCCCGAGAAATTTCAAAGAAATGTCATAAAAAAGTACTTCGAAAAAATTCAGTTTTAACATTATTTAAATATGCCCTACTATCTCCCCTAAACGAAAGACTATACATATTTTTTTGTCTACGTTTGTAAGAAATTACAATTTATAGAAGTTAACATTTCGATGGATTATACTGAAACTATATATTTATGAAGAATTAAATTTAATGAAAACAAATAAACCAAAATCAAAAGTTTTGGCTGCACTTCTAGTAAATAAGACATTTTCAAATAGAAAATTGAAAGAGATTATTATTCAGATTATTGAAAGATAAATATAATGCACAATAACTGTTCATCTTCAATATTTTCTGTTACAAAATGAAAACAATATAAGATTTTTGATTTATTGTTCATACTTTGAGTTAAGTTGATTAAAAGGAAAAAGAAAAATAAGTTGCAGAATAATATATTTTTTTAACATAATCATACTCCGTAAAGAAGTAAAATATAATGTAAATAAAAAATGATTTATTATGAGAGTTAATTAGAAAAGAAATGTCTTTGTTACCTTCGCATTTATAACGATTTTTGAGAATATAACCAGATTCACATGAACACGAGTAACTTCCAGGAGTATTGAAACATTTCTGATTGCATTGGTTCAGATGAGGAAATTGACACTCATCAATATCTGAAATTATATCATTTTTTTACAATTGTTAATATAAAATAATTTTTCAAGCATAAAACATTACTCGAAACTGTAAAAGATTTTGCACCTATTGGCGCAATTTTCTGCCTCAAATGTTTCAAATATATACAGTATGACTGCTTTAATTACGTATATTTAGAATCATTGCTCATTAGAAATCACAAATTTTTATATTGATACACTTTTATTTGCATTGCTTCAGAAGAGGGAATCGACACTCATCGATATCTGAAAACATTTTACTTTTTACACTGGTTTATATAAAATAATTATAAAACATTGCTCGAAGCAGTAAAATATATTACACATATTCTCAATAAAGGTTTTGATCTGGGGCAAAAATTTTAAGCCTCTACAGCGTGCCCGCTTTTAATATTAGAGTCACTGACACATAATCATTGCGCATTAGGAATCACAAATTATTATTCAACAGAAAAAAAGACATTCAAACACTGAAAAATCACAACTAAAATCAATAATAGCATCAAAGGAGGAATTAATTTAAATTTTAGCTAGAACTGAAGGATGTCGATTTTTATTTGAGGTTAAAAGGCGGTTTCTAACATGAATAAATGTTTTTCTAAAAGCTTAGATGCCGCAAGTGGTTTGTCTGTGGCGCTGCTTTTTATTCTAATTGCCCAACACAAATCTTCGTCAAACTGTAGGACGATTCAAATTGATACCATACATGCGGCAATGGTTAATTTCCTTTCAAACGAAAGAAAATATTTAGTTGAGGCGTTGGCTTCTATTCTTCTTTTAAGCGAAAATAACTAATTGGTCTTCCTCTCTCTGTGCGTTTTGTCATTCTGACGCAGCTTACCACCAAATATTTTCGTGGTTATTTAAATGATTTTTTTTTCGTAAATCTGTGAAGTTCTCAAAAAGCTGAAACTTTTTATCTAAATTGCAAGCAATAATAATTTACAAAAGTTAACATTTTAATGAATTATATCAAAACTATATAGTTACGAAGCATTGTATTTAATGAAAACAAATAAACCCAAATATTTAAGTGCACTTCTAAGAAATAGGATTCTCTTTTTCCAATTGAAAATTGAAAGTGATTTATTGATCCATAATAGTTCATCTTCGATATTTACCGTTACAAAAAAAAATCGAATTTTGAGTTATTGTTCATACTTTAGAGTTAAATTTCTTCAGAAGAAAAAGAAACATTCGCTGCTCAATAACATATTTTTCTAATATAACCATATTCAGTTCTGAAGTGAAGTATAATATAGATAAAAAATGATTCATTATTAGAGTGAATAAAAAATAAACGCCTTTGTTACCTTCACATTCATAACTATTTTTGAGTATATAACCAGATTCACATGAACACGAGTAACTTCCAGGAGTATTGATACACTTTTGATTGCATTGATTCAGATGAGGGAATTGACACTCATCGATATCTGAAATTATTTTAACAAACAGTAAAATATTTTTCACTTATTCTTAATTAGGGCAAAGTTTTCAAATCAGTACAGTATGCCCGCTTTTAATATTAGAGACATAGATACAAAATCATTTCTCATTAGGAATCAAAAATTTTTATCAAGCTAAAAAAAGGTTTTCAAACTATGAAAAATCACAATTGAAATCAATAATAGCAACAAAGTAGGAATTAAAATATTTTAAATTTGATTTACGGCTGAAGATTATGAATTTTATTTGAGGTTAAAGACGGTTTGTAAACAAAGTACTTCAGTTCTTCTAGACGGGATAGTTAGATTTAAATAATGTGTTCTTAGCAACCTCCATTAAGATAGGTTAGATTTCGTATTGAAATAATTATTAAGATCTTTTTTTTTTTACTTTTTACAAAGATTCAAAAAAATTATATAAAAATTGTGTTCATTGTGCATGTTTAAATTCAAAAGCAAAAAATGTGTTTGCAAAATAAAATGAAAATAATTCTGACTAAAACTGTGACGCATTTTTTTTTTAATAATTATTTTTCAAAACTATTTTTAAAATATGATTTTGCGTATAATACAGTTAAATTAATCTTTATGCATTAAAACATAAAAAAAGCAATTTTTGCAACAAAATATATACAATTGCTTATGTAAAACTAACCAACGTAATAAATATAAATTTCTAAAGTCATAATATGCACATTAATTATAAAAAATATTTGTGGAAAATATTATTTTGCAAATGGTAATTATTAACAAATATTTCAAACAAATTGCCAGAAAATTTTAAAAATAAAGACTAAACTTTTGTCTTGTTTTATCTTATTCTATAAATAAATTAGTATTGTCGTAAATAGATCACGATTAAGTATGAAAAAATCTAAAAGCACATAATGCATAGTTGTTAATTTCGAAATCTCTATCACAATAATATGAAAAGGTAAATAATGGCTAGCCAACACTTCGAAATATTTTTGTTATGGAACAAAAAATAGCGATCTTAACAAGATCACGTCCTCTGGTATCAGAAATGCTCATTTCATATATGATACCGTAGGCCGTGAAGAGAGAATCATGTGATCGTGTATATGTGATCTCGGCCCAAAAAAGGTTAAAGGCGGTCTTTATGGAACATCTCGTATAGATCTTTATGCTCTCTTAAAATTAATTCGCTTTTTGCTACATGTCCATGATGGCATTCACTTTTATAACTTCCTGGTGCACTCATGCAACTATGGTTGCAATGATATTTTTGCTCCTGATATTCATCTATCCCTGAAAAGAAAATACTTTTATTAAAGAATCCGTTATCTAGTGATAACTAAAGTATCGCGAGTCTTGGTGACTCAGGAAATAAAGCGTTCGCCTTCCAATGAGGTGAGCCGCATTAGAATCACAGGGATGGCTGGTTGATACGAATTCCTCACCCGACTCACAAAGACCACAGTGCTGACCTAAAATATCTTTAGTGGCAGGTGGATTATGGGTAAGAGTCCCCTTAGCGTCAAGATAACCATGATAGGTTTGCATGCTTTTTCCTCTCCATGTAAGGCAAAGGCGGGTTAGTTCCATCAAAAAGTCCTTCATGAAGGGAAATTTCTCCCAATACTTGATCCAGAAGTTTCCTTGTTTTCTGGAGTGGGCTCAAAATTACAAGGCTGCGGAGTTGAACGTTTGATAGTTGTAAATTCAGAATTAGATCGTTTGTTCAACGCTGGTTATAAATATTTCTAGTATTAGTAGTCTAGTATTTGTATTAGTAGTCGTAAACCCAAGGGTGGGTCAACTGTTCAGCTATGGTTATAAACTAAAGAACCGTGGTAAAATAGATTTTTATTTGCACCTAAAATTTCCCCACGTTTTACGAAAGCGGTGCACCCAGCATTTTTAATTTTAGGCATGACTGAAATAGAAATTACATTCCACTCGCCAATTAAAAAATGAAGTTTTTATCAACTCTTTGCGTTGTTTCACTTTCATTATAAAAACTACTTCGCACACAAATATATTCAAACCTTATGTATATGATAAAAATAAATAGAATTTTACCCATGCATCTTCCGTCTTGTAAGCGCCTATATCCTTCTTTACAGGAACAAACAGCAAAACCACTGGATGAGTTGCATATTTGTTCGCAGCCTCCATTATTAATATCACAAGTTTTAGGTTTAATAGTTTTGTTTGCAATGTCTCCTCGTTCTTCCTTGTAATTGTAACGAGGAACGTGAAATATAGACTTACGTTTATTGGCTTTGATTTCTAAAATATACAAAATCTACATTAAAATGATTTTTGGAAATGAACAAAAATCAAATACATAAACATTAAAATTGCTCTTCGCATGTATATTAATCAATCAAAAAATTTTAGTCTTACATGAAATAGTCGTTATTACGTTCAGATATTATTATGCTCAGTTTGTTTTTTACAGTATTTAAATAAATATGTTATGCAGTTTACGGGGTTAGCTGTTAAAATCAGTTTATCGTAGAAAAAAAATGATTGTAGCAACTGAGGGTGTTGATGAGCGAAGCTAATCGGGGTAGTGTCTCACTGTTTAACATATTAACGAGCATAAATATTAACTTTTTTCGATAAATTTTATTGTTTTATAGCTTTCTAGGAGCGGGGCCAAATGACATAGCATGACTGGGCTGAGACCTCCTGCCCCCCCCCACCCTTTCTCGTCAGATTTATTTCACGTTTTTAAGTGCCAAGTAATGTCATTTCTAAGATGTAAATTTTTTTTCTTCAGTTTTGACATGGATTCTAAAAAAAATCAGAACAGTCTGCATTCAAATTTTTCTTATTTAATATCAATATGATGAATAAATACCTGTACACAACGTTCACTTCAACAAACAAACAATTTACACTCTCAGATCTCATGGCTCACCCACCTAATCAATTCAAACTTATTATATTACAGTAAAAGTGGTTATATAAAAGTCGTTACAGTCCTTATATATATTTAACGTTAAAATAACCATAAAAAGACTAGAATGAAATATGCACATTTACTTCCTTTTCTTTCTTCTTGCACAACGAGTTTGATTTAACTAAATATATACAGTAGATTGCTTTTACTTGAAATTTTTAGACTAAATTATATAGCTCTGTACTTTAAGGAAAGCAGAAATCTCTACGACAGAAAAACTTAAACTTAAAAAACTTAAACGTAACGAGTATATGCAAGAAGAAGAGGAAATGTGCAATACCTTTTGACGTTATTTGATAGGAGTGAATGCAGATTTTAATGGTAAAGAGTCAAGAAGGGAAATAGGGGAGTATGACGTCGCTTGGCTGGGCTAAGACCCATATGCCCTACCTTCAATATGTGGTCAATAAAATACGCATTTTTGGCAGGATTTCTTTTATTAGGAAGAAAAAACTTAGCTGATAGTTTCAATTATGTTGCTTTATGAAGTAAACGATGTTTGTTTTTAGCTTTCCTGTATTGATACAAGAAATAAATAAAAATGTCTTCGATTTAATCATTTTAGTATAATATTGCTCACTTAAAAAGCAGAAAAATGTATTTCCCTAAAAACACATTTTCATCTTAATAACGGAATGTGACAAGGGTGATAGGAAAAGACAAAGTGGAAATGAAAATTTTATGTACAAAATAAACTCAAGATAACAATTTATGTATCGTACTTGTCTCATAGTTAACATAATTTTTTGAACTGACATGTTATACTTTCAACTCATACTCTACTACTTTGTTTAAATGTAGGATGGTCATTCAGTCTATTTAAACCCGAATTAAATTAAAGTTTATAAAAAAAAAGTGCATTTATAACCAATAGTTTTCTTTTTCCAAGAGGTTTTTTGAATAATATGCCTTTACTGAAAATAATTATTTAAGTATATCAGTCAAAGTATTTTATTAATTGCATCGTCATCTGGAATATGAGACTTATTGTTTTAAAAATTAATTCGGGTAATAGATTTTGAATACACAAATGTTCATTAAGCTTTTAAATGAAATAATAAACTTGTTCATTTTCTAAGTAAATTTGTCATATATGTTTGTAAGTTAGAGTTCAGAAAAATATTGTTTAAGCAAGAAAATTTTTTACATTTATATATATATATATATATATAAAGGTTATTCTTTTNATATATATATATATATATATAGGTAAAAAAAATTTTATAGAATTTCTTAAATATACTTTCAGCTAACATATTGAAGAAAATGTTTAGAAAAAAATTAAGATATCGAAGATATATATTCTCTAGAATGTCTAATGTATATTTTCTAAAAGAAAAGACATATGTTGAATATCTCAAGTTATTTGTCCCACATAAACCTTAAATCTTAAAAAAATCTTCAGATTATATTCTTAAGATTTTCTTCAGATTATATTCTTAAGAATATCTTAAGTTATTTGGCCCACATAATCTTAAATCTTAAGAAATTCTTAAGATTATTTTCTGAAGATTTTATTAAGATTATATTCTGAAGATTTTCTTAAGATTATTTTCTTAAGATTTTCTTCAGACAATATTCTTAAGAAAATCTTAAGTTATTTGGCCCATGTAAACCTAAATCTTAAGAAATTCTTAAGATTATATTCTGAAGATTTTCCTAAGATTATTTTCTTAAGATTTTCTTCAGACAATATTTTTAAGAAATCTTAAGAATAAGTGGGCTAAATAACTTAAGATTCTCGCAAGATTTCTTTTTAATAAATTCTTGAGATTTTTTTAGTGGGGCATGAGCAGGAAAAAGCAGGGCAGGAATGAGGTGTTCTAAATGTCGAAAAATTTCAAATATTTATTGATGTTGCCATTTCGTAACCTGGCCAATGCAGTTTGCCTTCGAATTCTTCTTCTAAGCACAAATAACTAATCGGTTTCTTAATGCGCGTTTAGTCATTCTGACGCAACTTTTCACTAAATATTCTTATGGCACTGAGTAAGTTCGTCTTTTCTTTTCTTCCGGAAAATTTAGCGTACCTATCAAAGTTAGTTTATTATATTAAAAACTTAGAATTTTTCGTCCACGATTGCAAGAAATAACAATTTACTAAAGTCAAAATTTTAATAATTATTATAACAAAACCATATACTTACGAAGCATTATATTGAATGAAAAAAATAAAACAAAAGCTTAACGTGCACCTGAAAAAATAGTACATTATACAAGTAGAAAATGGAGAGAGATTATTTGATAAACTGCTCCATAATTGTTCATCTTCAATATTTATCGTTACAAACGAAATCAATATTCAAAATATGATTTCTTGTTTATACTTTGAGTTAAGTTTCTTAGAAGAAAAAAAAAGATAAGCTGCAGAATAGATAATTTTTTTAAAAATATAATCATATTCAGTTCTGAAGTAAAATTTAATATAGATAAAAATTATTTATTATGAGAGTGAATAAAAAATAAACGCCTTTGTTACCTTCGCATTCATAACTATTTTTGAGTATATAACCAGATTCACATGAACACGAGTAACTTCCAGGAGTATTGAGACATTTCTGATTGCATTGATTCAGATGAGGAAATTGACACTCATCGATATCTGAAATTATATCATTTTTTTTACAGTTGTTAATATAAAATAATTTTTCTATTATAAAACATTACTCGAAACAGTTACAATTATTCGAAACAGTTACAAAAATCGTGATGTACGATTTTTAAATTAAGTGAATGCGAATCGTAGCGTCTAACTTCTTAATCAAGTAAATACAAAAATCGATGTTTGATATTAAAATCGCATGAATAAGAATCGTGATATTCCAAATATTCAAAACGGCTAAAATTAGCCAAACAAAAATAATAAAATTGATAGAAGAACCACGTGTTCATATATGCAAACATCGTGACATCTTGATGAACAATTTCGTCGGATTAAAAGATGTTGACTCGCGGAATTCCGCAAACCAATGATCTCGAGATATGATACAATACTCGCTATTTTTGTTGAAAAATCACACACATTGCTTCTAGTTTTCTGACCCGAAAGAATGATAGGAAAAATCCGGAATTTCTTGTCACACCCGGAATACCGTACTCGTTATATCGAGCTTTTACTGCAGTTTGTCATTAACGTAATAGCACCATATAGCTTATCAAAATGAAGATAATAAATATATTTTTACCCTGGCATTTTCCCCCTCTCTCAGGTCTAAATCCATTTCTACAGGAACAGACAGGAAAACCACTGGATGAGTTGCATATTTGTTCACAGCCACCATTATTAATATCACAAGTTTGAGGTTCATTATTATTGTTAGGTGAAATCTTTTCTTGTCTTCGATTATAATGAGAGTAGTCAAATGCAGTAGCAGGGTTAATGGCTTTGATTGCTGAAATAAACGAACAATATTATTAAATCTTTTTTGTAAATGAACATTAATACTATATAAAATTCAAAAAATGTAATGGACGAAATATTTCTCTTCAATTCTCTATATCCAATAAAAACATTAGTCAAACTGTGGTTAAACTATTGTAAGGTTTGAGTTCAGTTATTTCAAGGTTCAGTTTGATTAGACTATTCACTTAGAAATTTTTCATACTAATGTTGTATTCCAGCAGATAGTTGACTGTGATTGTATAATAAGAACATAGTGTAATTTATAAGCATAAAAAGATGATTTTTTGTGTCTCTCTCATGTCCCCAGACTCGTTAATATTAGGAATAGAGCGTTCTCCTTCCAATGAGGTAAACCGGGTTCAGCGACGGCTGGGCGATATTAATTCCGCACCCGGCTTGCACCAACTACAGTGTTGACGTAAAATATCCTCAGTGGTAGATGGATCATGGGTCAGAGTCTCCTTGCCATTAGGCTAACCTTGCGAGGTTTTCCCCTCCATGTAACAAAATGCGGGTTAGTTCCATCAGAAAGTCCTCCACGAAGGCAAATTTCCTGCGATACTTGATCCAGTCCAGGATTTTCCTCTTCTTCTGGAGTGGGTTCAGGATTACAAGGCTACGGAGTTGAACNATCACGAGTCGCCAACAAATTTATGTGAATTATTACAACCATGTAACCGAAACATTTAGCCGTTGGAAAATTAGAATAAAAAGTTATAAATAGATTTTTGTTTTCGATTAAAGGCGACAGTGAATATATAAGTCTGCATTAGTAATGAAATAAAAAAGTATCCGTTACATTAATCTAGAAGAGAAGAAATAAATATTTTATGTTTGTTTTAAAAAGATTAAGTTTGTGATTGATTTTAAATATAATTCTATTAATAAAAAATCAGCTTAAGTAATGAAAGATATTTTAAAAGATAGAAAATAAATATGTGTATGCCAATTGTGGCATCACGGATAGATAGATAGATAGATAGACAGATTACTAATGTTCAACTCCGTAGCCTTGTAATTTTGAACTCAATTCAGAAAACAAAGGAACTGTTGGATCAAGTATTGGGAGAAATTTGCCTTCGTGGAGGACTTTTTGATGGAACTTACAGGTATTTGCGTTACATGGGGAGGAAGAACACGAGATCCTCCCACGGTTAGCCTGACGGCAAGGGGACTCTAACCCATGATCCGTCTAACACTGAGGACATTTTACGTCAGCACTGTCGTCGGCGTTTACCCTGTCGTTCACTCTGATATACTAAAATTGTTGAGTTGTTGTAAAATTAGCAATTATACATTTGTCTTTGAAAAAACCTTCGTTGATATGGTAAATTTATATGAGTTTTACATCGAGCTTGGAGATCATATGAGATTTTGCATTTGGAGAATTAACACGTATGCTATGGTGCATTGTTTAGATAATACAAATAATACAGATACAGATTAATCGGGTGATATCTATATGAGATCGTGATGAATAATTAACAAGGTATACAAAGCGTAACAATACAATTAATGCAGGCATACACTTACTAGGGTACAGTGAAACTTATGTAGGATCCATTATATGTCATGTATTTGATGTAGCATTTCACTGTAAATAGTCATCAATGATAACTCCCAAGAGCTTGAATTTCTGTTCTTGTTTGATGTTGTATTTTCCATACGGGATCCTGGTGGAGCCATTGACCAGTGTTTTGTCTCTTTTCTGCAGTATGATGTTTTCTCTATTGAATTCTTTAAATCTTTTTTTCTGCTCATTGAATACATTTTTTGAGAGCTTGTGTAGCCAGTATACCTAGTTCTTATTTTGTATTTGACACTATGATGAGAATAAAATCGTCTGCTAACGGCATGAAGTGTATGGCGCTGTCGAGAACTAGGTCGTCTTTTAAAGTTACCCAATCTTGAATTATTGTTTTTACATTCTCGTCAAGACACGTGCACTACTTAAAAGCTCTTGTATTGTGGCACAGCATTGCAAAGCACGCTACTAACAGATTAAAATAAATAAATAACTTGATTTGACATGTCTTTTACGAGTCAGCGTATTAGACTTGAGTAAACTTTAAGTAAATTTTAAGTAAATTATCTATAATTACTTAAAACAATCAAAATGTTTTAGTTTTATATCGTATTTTACACTGTCTAAATGGAAAATTCGTGGTCAACCACCGATGACTGGCGTGTCAATCAACGTGTTTACAAACTTTCCTTTGTTGAACCGCACTTCGAAAAACTATAATTAAGAGATATTATTACCAAATATTTAATTGCTTTTATGCCTTTCAGTTTTTGAGCGTGATTGCGTATTGTTAATTAATACAGATTCCTAGATTATTTAATCCTTTATTTATTAAATCATTAAAAAATTATCAAAAAGGTAGGAACTTTCTTGTCCCATTAAATAAGGTTCATTTTACGCTTTGACAAATATTTGTCTTTACTATTCAATATTATTTTCCAATTTTTCATACAATTAATTTGGAACTTATTATAAAATTTTAATTCAAGTTAAAAATTTAATACTTTATTTTATAACTTGTTAAAAACGTTAATGAATCAATGAAAGAATAGAAAAGACCTACTGACAAAATTGATCAAGTTCGAAAGCAGAGAATTGAGAAATAATAAAATAGCGTTCTCGAACAAAATATCAACAACTCAACTCTTCCATAGGTGAATAAATAATCATGTATTTATGTAAAGTCATATAGTTAGTCATGAAGCTTATTTAACGTCAGATAAATATAAAGTCATACTACAGGGATAGACAAGTTCCGATGACATATTTTTTTTCCTTTCAATGCCATATGAAAATAATGTTGATGGGACTTTTAAGTTTCATAGATACTTAAAGGATAAATACATTTTTACTCCGTTCCACTAATACTGAAATAGAACAAAAATCGTTTTCTTTTTAAAAATTTGATGGACGATTTTAATTTCACAATTTTATACTTACTATGAGAGTATTCCAAAATGCAGCGAGGCTCAACACCAGTCCATCGTAAATTCTGGCCGCAACGGCGCTCACTGGAACCTATCAAATAGTACTTTCTGGGGCACCTGTATCGACATATTGAGCCCTCTGAAGGAGGTTCATTCTCACATTTTCTAATAGCTATTTTCACAGTTGGCAGAGGCTCACATTGGCGTGATGTAACTATATCAGAACAAAAGTTAACTATTTTTAAGCCCAAGCGAATTTAAAATTACAAATATACAGGTATAAAACAAATTTAATGGTCCTCAATAGCCACAGGGTGATTAAATATAAAAAAAGGCGATTAAACAATCACTTACAGGTCACAACCCGATCGTCACTTTTTGTTGAAAATGTTCTCCACGAGCATTTCATTATTATTTTTCATTTAATAAATATAGAATTATTATGATTACTTTACAATATTCTGAAAAATTGCTTTAATTCAAGCATATTTCTTAATTATATATTTTTTTTTCATTTAAGAAATGAATCCTGTAGTGTTTACTATATTGTTAGAAATGCTTCAAAAGAAATGACCGATATTAATATGAATGATTTTATTAATCGTTTAAAAATTTTCATTTCCTTAGAGAAAAGTGGCCACTGCTAAAAATACCACAACTGGTGAAAGTACAGATATTTCTCCGATATTGACCTTATATAGAAATGTCCGATTTACCCGATATTTTACAACCAATATCAGCATTATATGGAGTTGTCAGATTCACCAGATATTTTATATTTATTATTCAGCCAATATATACCTTATATTGACTCTATATAGGGCGATATTGGCCCTATATAGAACCAATGTCAATAAATCTAGACATACTAATACTGATCCTTCGTCATCGATCCGAAGACATGCCATCGCAATTTTGATCCTCTGCAGCGGGGATGGCTTCCCTGCTTTGGTAGCCCGACAATCTGCACACGAAGTTGAGCATTTTACGGTAGAACAGTTTAACGAGGACCCATACCGAAACCTTCGGTCACTACGCAGACTGATCCAAGTGGTCACCCACCCGCACACTGACCGCAGCCAGTGATGCTTGACTTCGGTGATTTGCTGGGAACCGCGTCTTAGCGATCAGTCCACTGCAGGACGCGCATATTATTAAAAATATAAATCTATTTCTACTCTCAATAATTCAAACTTTGCATTAATCACGTGATAAAAGCTAATAGCAATTTGTTACTATTATTGATAAAAAATACTGTTGCACGCTGATCCATATTATTTCACAAATTTGCACTAAACGTAGCATAAATCTAACTAAACGGTGTCTCATTGAGTCAGATCATGACACAAATTAATCATTTTTTAATGCTTGATCGCATGATGTAATTTTTCAACTGAAAACTATTCAAGTAGCTATTTTGATCGTTTCTCGTCGAATCTTTTCATTTCAATGATTCAGTCTCTCAATGATTACAATCTATCAATGATTCACACTAAATGTTATGGACTACACGAGAAGTTCTTAAAGTTTATTTCTCCGTGGATCACTACTGAATTTTTGTTAGCTGAGATGTTCAACTTTAAAGTTTGAACAGGATAATTTACCTCAAATCAATCGACCCTTTGCTTTAAAATTTCTTGGTTTTTTTAATGGCAAAAAGCAATTTAATTATGCCACTTTGAAATGGATATTGAAAAGTGGTAGTATTGTTACAATTTTTTTTTCAGTTTCGTTGCATTTGTACTGCTATCATTTTGTTGGTTTTCTAGTAAGCTGAAAGTTTCTGAGCCTTTTTATTTTTACTCAGAAAAAAAGAGACCGGATAATATTTGATCAATTGGTTGTTGCTAGATTGGTCATGATGCATATAGCTGGAAGGAGGGTAAGTTTCTTCAACTTAGATACCTCTATACTCGACACTAACTATATGCACTTTTCACCTTTTACTCTTGGTTCTATTAAAAATCAAATAGGTCGATTGATGCATGATTGAAATAAGGTTAAGGTACACAGTCCAGCAACCTCAATGTAGCAACCACATACTCTCGACTTCAACATGAAATAATCCATCACTGTTAGCAGGTGGTGGACACAGATAGCAGGCAGCATTGCACTTGTTAGCGTAATGCAGAAACGGAGCGATTTATCTGACGGTTAAAAGATCACGATTAGTGACATTCGGGCCAAAGGTGGATGATTCATATGAATGCCGATACTCTAGTTAACGACATAAGTTTTTCACATCCTCTCCATGCTCTTTGGAATGCATTTTGCCCTGATTTTCCCCTCTCGGCCACTACAGTTTTTCTAGCTTTGTTCACCTTTATTTATTTTTCATTTTCTGTTTCACACTGTGGATACTGCGGTTTTTTTGGGTTTGTCTTTCATCTTTTTCTTTTCATTGGCAACTTTACGTTTCCTGTTTCAAATCCCTTCCCCCCCCCTCATTCACGTCCGGCCAGTCTTGCGTATGCATCGGCGCTTGAAACATGTCGACTTTATTACCATCTTCATATTTTTTTATGCAAATGGAATTTAATAAATATGATATACAGGGTGTCTATAAAAGAAGTCCGGGGTTTTGAGGCAAAATATTTTAATGAAATAAAAACCATACATACATGTTTTATACATGACTGAAAAGCTTACATTTTCAAGTTTTTTTAACACTTAGTCAAGTTCTATATGAGCCCCGTTAGTGGCACGGCAGACGTCTAAACAGTATTCTACCTCTTCCCATGTCCTGGCGAGCATGTTTGGGGTGACGGTTGCCACACAATTGACTATTCGTTCCCTGAGATGTTGAACATCACGAATTTTCTCTGCACTTTGTACGGTAACTGAAGACTTCGTTTCTATGAGCCAAATAACACATTGAGCCTTTTGTTGCGGAGTCGCCATCATTTAAAATTTCGCGACGTCATTTCAAGGTCAACGCCCTGCAGCGTCGCCAACAGTTGATACAAACATTCCCAATTGGTATGAGTAAAACTTTTTGAGCTACTCTTTTCAGAGAAATCGACTAAATTTTGCTATCTTTTATAGTTAGTGAGATATGAATTTTTAAAATCCCGGAGTTCTTTTATAGACACCTTGTATAATATATCAGTTATATCTGATATATTAAATTTAATATATCAGTTATATCAATATGATCAATACCTACACAAAAATGCGATTATCTCAATTTTTAATTACTTTCGTGAATAAACTATCCTATCATTTATAGCTTACTTCTTTCACAACGGGGCAAAGGATTTTCCCACAATCCATTCACACAAAGAATTTTACTTGAACTGGAAAGCGTGTAACCAACTTTGCAAACAGCATAGGCATGTAATTCCTTGCGATAAAGAAGACTTCTGTATTCGGTACCATTTTCTGTCCAGGTAGTCCCTACTGGCTTGCACTGCTGACTGTTTAACACCTCTGTTCAAAAGAGAGGAAAAGAACTATATAGAGCAATATTATTTTTGGTGCAAAACGATACTAAATATATTTATGTCCGTCATTTGAACCACTAAAAAGTATTTTGCTTAATCAATAAACATGCATACTGGAAAAATAATAAACTACAGGAATTATTTTAGTTTGTTCGATTCAGATTGAGTAGTGCTGATTGCTAGTGATTTATTGCTTATTTACTTTTCGGTTTTTACTTTTTTCGGTTTACTTTTCGGTTTACTCCTTACGAGGAGCCGGTATTTAGCAAGCTTAAAATATAGCTCCAAACTTTGAATTTAATTTCCTTTTTAAATTAAAAACTTACGTAACTTTATATCGAAAATAAACCTCACTCGTAATACGGAAAATTAAATTATTCATTCAATTATGAGAACAATTATTATTCGCTTGGCAATCTTTTTTTTTGCAGTAGATTAGTTGGCAGAGGTTGTACGCTTCTCGAAGCCATCTTTCATGTCTTAAAACCAATCCGTATATTGACGTCACATACTTTACTCAAAAATCAAGTCGGTGTTTTCTCTATTCGGCTGTTACATTCTAAGAAGCCATTATAATATTACGATCATCTAAATACAACTTCATCTTATGATTTTCGACTTTGTGATCTAATATTTGTGATTTTGTGATCTAATATGATTTAAATTAGTTTTAAAAAAATTAATTTTATGCTCATTAAACTCTCATAAATAGAAATTTAGTATATTTAAGAATGCATATACTGTTGTAGAATTATTTAAATAAAATTTCATATTTTGACTAACAATAATGGCATACATTAAGCTAAGCGTAGAAAATATATAAATAGATTGTTCGTTTAAAATCCTAATAACAAACTTTAAAAATAAATTTTCTGTTCAGGACTAAGCATTCACTTATAGTAATTTGGATAATTTAAACAATATTAAAAACACCATTTTTATATTAAAACTAGGTGCATAAAAATTGCAACACTACATTGAACTTATAAAAAAAAGTTCATTAATCAATTTTATTCATTTCTTATTGTGGCATAATAATCATTTACATGAAATTTGAATTAAAATCATTAATAAAAGTACCAAGCTGAACATTCCTTTAGCGTATAATGGATTAATAGTTTTTCTGCTCATGTCATCGTAACTTGCTGTTTTGTTTTTAGAAGTTTTAAGATTTTTTTAGCGCTTAGTTTCAAATGATTCGTTTACATTATTTAAAAAAGGTAAATTGTTACTTATAAATAACATATGGCTTTAATTGCTTTTTTGAAGGAAAGAGGGGTAGCTAAATGACTCACCTCATAAAATAATCTTTATCCAAATATTAGTAGCAAATCCGCGATATTGTTTCTTTTTTTTCGTATTACATTTTTACATTAAACTTCTAATCAAGATTGTTTTTTTTGGAAAACAAAGATAGCTATTAACTCCTTTTCCTTCGGCTTGTCGAACCAGTTTTCACATATTGCTTTGCCACATATTGGATGGTATAGTTAAATACATTGGATCACCATAAATGGAGCTTTAGTCTTATTTTAAATTACTACAAAAGTCACAAACCTACTAAAAAGCATTTATATTCAAAAAATTAACTATATTTTAGACAAATCGTAAGAATACTTAACTCTTGAAACTGAAAAAAAAAAGCATTTGAAGGGTATCATTATCATAATGAAAAGAAGGCTAACTTTGCAAGAATAATGACAGTAAGAATAACAGTAGATGTGATGTCACAAACTCACTCCCTTCCTTTATGTGGAAATCCAAAGAGCATGTTTTCGCACTTTAAATTATTTCAAACAGATTTCAAATGTAATATTAAAAAAAATATTACCTTGAAAAGAATGTATGAATGTTAAATTTAGTTATGAATGAATTGGAATTCAAAATACTTTTTAGCTTTAATAAATTTTATCAGAATTATATTTAATGTAAAATTTCTTAAATACAAAATTAATACATTAAATTATATTTAATAATAGCACAAACTACTTAAAAATTCAATTTACTCCATTCTGATAAATCTTAGTAAATTTACTTTAAATAAAAGATATTATTTGGCTATTTTATGTTTGATGAACTTCTTTTCGATTTCTGGGTTTTCAGCTTCTTCTACTATTCTAAGAGTTCTACTGTTCTGTTTCTATATTTTCTCTAGAATGCAACCATATTTCTAACTCCTTATTTTTCATTAAATTGCTGAAAAGTATAGTTCTAATTTTTTCATTAAAAATATGAAGGTAAATTAAACTTTTTTTAGCATTAGAACTTCTAATAGTGTTCAATAAAAGTTTAATTAACACTTCTTAAAATTTCAGTAAAAACTTTAAATAAAATGTATTCGAATATTAATTTGTGTGTGAACAAATTAAAAGCCAAAATGTAAATCTGAAACTTCAAAACAGTTGCCAATAATACAATAAAAGATATGATAGCTTTTAGCGTCTACTGAACATGTGACGTCATAAATTCGACTCTCTGAAGAAGAGGAAAAATAGACCTCCGTTTAATAACCTTACATTTTAATATATCATGCCGAACATGGTTACATTGTAAAAGTGAATTATCTCGTAGCAAATTAATTTTGTAACACGAAACTTCTGCTAATTTATGCGTAAAAGAACAAAACAAACATAAATATTCAGTTAACGTAATTTTAATGTAATTATTGGAGTTGCTTCACTTTCGTATGATACTAATTTAATGTTGACACTCTATTCTAAACAGAATACGTAAAATATTTTTGCTAACGTTAAAAAAAATGGCGTTTTTTCTATCAATAATCATGATACAAAATCCATAATTTAGAATTCAAATTAAATTTTCTAGCATGCAGTGTACGTTTAGAACTAAACCGCATTACGTAGTTTAATTGACTCTTAAAAATTTTTTGATTTTTAAATTTAAAATATGCTTTTTTATAATGCATTATCGACTGCTAGCAAAATCATCACATTCATTTTATCATTTTAAGAAATTTAGTTTAATAGGTTTTCGTTATTATTTTATTGAATTGGAAACTAAGTCAAGACTTACCACCATATGATATGAATATTAAGCAATTAATCACGAACAATAGCTGAACTACGATGTTTGGATACATGCTGTTTCATTTAAAATTTAGTTTAGTGTATATCTGCATTATTATATTTGATGTATTTACGCAATTGAAGTCCAGCGAATAAAATCACAAAAGATTGCTTTCGTTTACACTTCATATCAATCGGTCAAATGATAAGCAGTTCGCCTTGACCTCACATGTCTGATTTTCACTTCTTATAAAATCCTAATTCACGAAAGTGAAACTAAAATGATGAAATGAAACTAAACACTGAACCGTCGTTAGAATTTTTAGTGCCGCTTAGAGAATGAATATTAAATATTCAAGATTTTTATTACAATTGAAGTATATAAAAAAAATTATTTTTTGTATTTCAATCCTTAAAAAAATAACACCTCTTTGAATTGTGGAATTTTGCGTTTAATGGCCCTACTTAAATAATTATCGAAAAATGTTTACATAAACCTTATTTTCTACTGTTTTACACTGGAACTCTTAATTGTGAAAATTATAGCCTATTTTCCTGTTTTATTAATACGATTAAATAGAAAACAAAGTTATGAATTTTTCAAATTTTTTTTTAAAAAAACACCTTTTTTTTATACAAATTATAACCCCCCCTATTTTGTCAGGGCGGGCCCCCCTTGAGTGTTAAGAAGGTGGAATCCTAAGATGTTTTTTCTCCACATTAGTGATTCGAGAGATTTCAATAGCTGTTTTGCTCCACCATAGCTTAACTTTTATTTGGGTCACATATGGTTTGTCTAAAGTAAAAACTCCCAAAACCACTCGTCTGGACTCGTGACGGTGACTATGACAACGAGGTATAACTATTTCAAGTAGGGGGGTGGGGTCACTGTTTAGAACAGGTTTTGGCTCGGGTCGGCGAGAGAAAGGGAATCTTTTTCTTCGATCGATTGTGTTAGCCCTAGAGTGAAGAAAAGCTGTCCTCCTGAAATGTGCTATTTTTGTTTCAATAGCAGTAGACGGCCTCAGACTATGTGGCTGGGGGAGTTCCTACCGTAGACAAACTATGTGTAAACTTAACAGACGAGAATTCTAAAAACAAATATTTAGGGGAATCATTATGAAACACCCTACATGCTATTAATTCGATAAAAGAAAATATTTCATATCACTTTTTGAGAAACTTTCGAAGTTTTCACTTTTTCAGAAAATATCAAATTGAACTAAATTCCCCCCCTGCCCGTAGTATATATATATACAGGGTGTCTCAGTTAAGCGTTTCAGAACTTCTAAGAGGGGTAGGGGGCATCCTGACGACTCGAAATCATATAGCAATGTGGGGTCGAAAATGCTTTCCTGAAGCGGTGACGTACACAGAAGCACCATAAAGAAAAGAGACCGTAAGTGAAAAATCGCTATAATAATGCAATCATGATTTAAAT